AGCACTTTTGGCTTACATAATGCAATCTCAGCTCATACCCAAGGGAGTAGCAAATGACATAGACAAAATCAGGCGCCAATTCTTATGAGGATCAGCACCTGGAGAAAAGAAAATGAATCTTGTAAGCTAGGACAAATTATGCCAGTGAAAAATAGGAGTGCACAACAAAATCAGAGCGATCCCTCCCCAGACCCGGCAATGGGACCCGATTTACCAACATGGCAGTGGTCAAAAATAGGCAAATTCACAACAAAATCTGTTTTCCAAAAGCTAAACGAACACACATGGGAACAACAAAGCAAACACTGGAACATCATTTGGACTTTCAGTGGCCCCAAAAAAATCAGAATGTTCCTTTGGCAAGCTTCAAGAGGAGTACTACCAACAAACGCAGAGAGAAAAAGAAGACACCTGATAGAAGACGACTCATGTGGTTTTTGTGGATGGCCGAAAACCCTTTTCCATCTCTTCCGTGACTGCCCAAAAACTACGCAAATCTGGGCCGCCTTGAAGGGAGAACTAACCCAGGATTTTTGGCCAGAAATGAATTGGAAATCATGGCTCAACTCTAACTTGATCTCTGCACTTTTGCAGGATGGAATCAAATGGAAGACGACCTTCAGAACGGCATGCTTGAAGCTCTAGACCTACAGGAATGAAGATACATTCCAGGAGAAATACAGCAATGTCTGAACCATAGCAGCTTCGATTAAAGCGGCCACCACAGAGATCATCATATCTAACTCTCTCTTTGCATGCAAACATACAAATCACCAACACGCCTCGGAAGTGTCAACCTGGGAACCGCCGCCTTGGGAGTGGATCAGATTAAATACTGATGGAGCTTCCAACCCAGCTACAATAGAGTCGGCCGCCGGTGGTGTATACGCAATCACGAAGGCAGATGGATAATGGGCTTCACAGCAAAAGTGGGAGAATGCTCAGTGTTAGAGTCGGAATTTGGGGAGTCCTTTTTGGGCTGCGGATCGCATGGCAGTTGGGCTTCAGCAAGGTCCAATTACAAATGGACAGTTTCGAAGCAACAAAAGCCCTTTCGACTACAGATTCCGCACCAGTAAATAGCAACGTACTTAGTAGATTACTTTTGGTCCTAAAAAAACAATGGGTCGTAGAAGCCTTCCATATTGGGAGAGACGGAAATAAGGTAGCAGATTCCTTGCCAAAATTGGGCTACTCAACCCTAGAGGAGTTACATATTTTGGCAACGCCCCCGACAACGATCCTAGATCAGTTGACTTTTGACAGTCAACTCTCCATGTGAGAGTTGCTTTTGTAAACAAGCTTAAAGCTCCCCAATATATTAAAAAAAAAAATTGAGAGCAAATTTATATGTTTAGCCAGAGTCGTTTCTTCAGCAAAAAAGAAAAATAATAATAAAAATCATTCACATTCAAAAATATGAAATAATTATTAAGTATTTGTGTCGATGAAGATACATTCCAGGAGAAATACAGCAATGTCTGAACCATAGCAGCTTCGATTAAAGCGGCTACCATAGAGATCATCATATCTAACTCTCTCTTTGCACGCAAATATACAAATCACCAACACGCCTCGGAAGTGTCAACCTGGAACCGCCGCCTTGGGAGTGGATCAGAGTAAATACTGATGGAGCTTCCAACCCAGCTACAATAGAGTCGGCCACCGGTGGTGTATATGCAATCACGAAGGCAGATGGATAATGGGCTTCACAGCCAGAGTGGGAGAATGCTCAGTGTTAGAGTCGGAATTTGGGGAGGCTTTTTTGGGCTGCGGATCGCATGGCAGATGGGCTTCCGCAAGGTCCAATTACAGATGGACAGTTTCAAATCAACAAAAACCCTTTCGACTACAGATTCAGCACCAGTAAATAGTAACGTACTTAGTAGATTACTTTTGGTCCTAAAAAAATAATGGGTCATAGAAGCCTTCTATATTGGGAGAGACGGAAATAAGGTAGCATATTCCTTGCCAAAATTGGGCTACTCAACCACAAAGGGGTTACATATTTTAGTAAAGCCCCCGACAACGATCCTAGATCAGTTGACTTTTGACAGTCAACTCTCCATGTGAGAGTTGCTTTTGTAACCAAGCTTAAAGCTCCCCAATATATTAAAAAAAAAAAATTGAGAGCAAATTTATATGTTTACCCAGAATCGTTTCTTCAGCAAAAAAGAAAAATAATAATAAAAATCATTCACATTCAAAAATATGAAATAATTATTAAGTATTTGTGTCGATGAAGATACATTCCAGGAGAAATACAGCAATGTCCGAACCATAGCAGCTTCGATTAAAGCGGCCACCACAGAGATCATCATATCTAACTCTCTCTTTGCACGCAAATATACAAATCACCAACACGCCTCGGAAGTGTCAACCTGGGAACCGCCGCCTTGGGAGTGGATCAGAGTAAATACTGATGGAGCTTCCAACCCAGCTACAATAGAGTCGGCCGCCGGTGGTGTATACGCAATCACGAAGGCAGATGGATAATGGGCTTCACAACCAGAGTGGGAGAATGCTCAGTGTTAGAGTCGGAATTTGGGGAGGCTTTTTTGGGCTGCGGATCGCATGGCAGTTGGGCTTCCGCAAGGTCCAATTACAAATGGACAGTTTCGAATCAACAAAAGTCATTTCGACTACAGATTCAGCACCAGTAAATAGCAACATACTTAGTAGATTACTTTTGGTCCTAAAAAAACAATGGGTTGTAGAAGCCTTCCATATTGGGAGAGACGGAAATAAGGTAGCAGATTCCTTAGCAAAATTGGGCTACTCAACCCCAGAGGGGTTACATATTTTTGCAACGCCCCCGACAACGATCCTAGATCAGTTGACGTTTGACAGTCAACTCTCCATGTGAGAGTTGCTTTTGTAACCAAGCTTAAAGCTCCCCAATATATTAAAAAAAAAATTGAGAGCAAATTTATATGTTTAGCCAGAGTCGTTTCTTCAGCAAAAAAGAAAAATAATAATAAAAATCATTCACATTCAAAAATATGAAATAATTATTAAGTATTTGCGTCGATGAAGATACATTCCAGGAGAAATACAGCAATGTCCGAACCATAGCATCTTCGATGCCACCACAGAGATCATCATATCTAACTCTCTCTTTGCACGCAAATATACAAATCACCAACACGTGTCGGAAGTGTCAACCTGGGAACCACCGCCTTGGGAGTGGATCAGAGTAAATACTGACGGAGCTTCCAACCCAGCAACAATAGAGTCGGCCGCCGGTGGTGTATACGCAATCATGAAGGCAGATGGATAATGGGCTTCACAGCCAGAGTGGGAGAATGCTCAGTGTTAGAGTCGGAATTTGGGGAGGCTTTTTTGGGCTGCAGATCGCATGGCAGTTGGGCTTCCGCAATGTCCAATTACAAATGGACCGTTTCGAATCAACAAAAGCCCTTTCGACTACAGATTTAGCACCAGTAAATAGCAACGTACTTAGTAGATTACTTTTGGTCCTAAAAAAATAATGGGTCGCAGAAGCCTTCCATTTTGGGAGAGACGGAAATAAGGTAGCAGATTCCTTAGATAAATTGGGCTACTCAACCCCATAGGGGTTACATATTTTGGCAACGCCCCCGACAACGATCCTAGATCAGTTGACTTTTGACAGTCAACTCTCTATGTGAGAGTTGCTTTTGTAACCAAGCTTAAAGCTCCCCAATATATTAAAAAAAAAATTGAGAGCAAATTTATATGTTTAACCAGAGTCGTTTCTTCAGCAAAAAAGAAAAATAATAATAATAATTATTCACATTCAAAAATTTGAAATAATTATTAAGTATTTGTGTAGATGATTTCCAAACTAAATTCTAATTCTATTATAGAGTCAATAACGTTACAAACGTACATACATTTTGGCTTATAATTTTAGTATTGTGTCGGAATTGTGTTAATTTTCTTTGTTTAGTTCATACATACGTCCAACAGTTATTAGCATATGATACTGACTTTTTTATGTAATTCATTAATAAGTAGCTTTTTTTCAAAAAAAAAAAAAAACTTATAGTATGTCCACTAGAATAACCCTAAATAGTCCACATTAGAAACTTATCCTAGTAAAATCAAATGCATTTCAACATCTTCTCAAACAATATACTCACGTCCGGTGTCCCTAAAAAAGACCAACTCTGAAAGTATCAAATTAAACTTTTACTCATTCTGTTAAAAGAAAAATTATATCGAGTTTTGAAATTTGTAGAAAATTTAAAGTAGAGTATTTTTATAAAACAGAAAAAATGTCATTTTGTTAAATTAAAGCAATACAATAAAATGGACGTATTTGGAAGGAGGGAGTATAATTATTTGAGGTATGTGACGATAAAGTAGACGAATTAACTAATCAAAAGAAGATACTCCTCAATGAATTAATTTAAACAAAAGGGAGAATTAGATTGACAGAAGGGCTCCATGTTCCTATCGTCAATTAAGGGAGAGCGGCAAGTGGTTTGTTCATGTGGGTGAGTCATATATTCATCTGTATGTGTATATTTGCAGTTTGAACCACATATTATTAACAAACAATATTAGATGGAAGAAAAGAAATTAAGGAAAAAAAGGGTGTTTGGGACAACAAGAGACACTATCCTTTGTTGGCTGCCCGGCATCCGGATAACTAAAAAAAATCCTTTACATAAATTAATGTTGATTACTTATAAATACTATCTCTGTTCCTAAAAAAATAGTCCACATTGAGTTTTTAAATTTATACTAAAAATAATACAAAACTCAAAACTCAATGTAGTCTATTTTTATGGGACAGAAAGAGTAGTATATATCATATCAAGTACAAAATGTACAACTCATTTTCTTCCTCTGGATAAGCTAAAAAATAATTAAAATTTGGTACTATAATGTGATTCCGATTTTAAAATTTGGGAATATCCTTTTTGCGTCGACCCACCATGCATCAGCAATAAAATTAAGACACAGTATATATATTTATTTAGAGATTGATTAAGAACATGATGAAAGGAGATGCAGAAGGGATTCTTCTTGGAGTAACTAATATTGCCAAAAATGGAGATGAAGAGTTTTGCAGAGCAGAGAGATGAATGATAGGTTTTCAGATGAAGAAAAGCTGTTGTTCGGTTGTTTTCTCTCCTTTGAGGTGTGTATATATCTTCTTACTTACTCACTGCTTTCATTACAACTTCCATTTCTCAATGCTGAATTTGCATTTCTTGGATTATTGAGTCTGTCTGATCAGCTCTAGTTTACTAAACATTGAAAGTTTTTTCATTTGAATCAGCTCGATATTTATTCCGTGCTGTATATATTGATCGTTATATTCATATTTCTTCTTCTCTTATTTCCCTAGTCTCACCTCGAAGATAATACATATAGTTAAGAAAATGACTCGTTGATGAATAGAATCATATTAGCTGGTTAGTTTCTGGCACATTTTAGTAGATTAGGGCAAGTGTTGCTTTAATTCTTCAAGGGCAAAACCTCTCTAGAAAGGAAAAATCCAATGGCGAAGAAGGGTTTTTGATTAGCTAGATAAGAGTAATGTCAATTCTAGGTAGGTTTTTTTTTTTTTAATTAATATTGTAAATTTTAGAACCAAATCTCACTTAAATAAATTAAATATATTAGTATACGTATATATGCATTTATTTTTTCGAGAAGAACCCGTTAATTAAATTATTTACGAGGACTATAGTCTGTAGTTCTGTTGAAATACTCCTAAATTGTAAACGAAAGGGTTGTTCATACTTGCCCGAAAAATGTCATCCTCCCTCAACCTGAAAAGGAAGAAAAAACAAAATATTAGTAACTCGAAAGAAAAGAGATATCCCAACCTGGTGTAAATAAATTGTCAGTTCTTGTTTCCACACCAAAGAAAACAAAACCAAACAAAACACTAAATTGTCAGATCTTCGAAATTCTTCTATCTTATTACTATCTGGATAATCAAATTTTATATACACTCTCTCTTTTCCTTTTTTTTTTTTAAAGAAAATTAGTAACATTGCTAGTATATATCGGCTTGAATCGTGCTTTCCACAAATTAACTTGACTGGTACTAACATAATTATTTTTTCAATTTATGTTTCTTTTAGTCAATACAAATTTTGTTTCTTTTCTTTTTTTCTTTTTAATTTTTAAAAAAGTAAACATTGACAGGTAGACCACTTCTAATTTTCGATTCATGTAATGCCCTCTCCTTTTTGTTTTCCCTAATAATTTATCTGGATATCATCTTTTCTACAAAAAAAAAAAAAAAAAACACATTTAGGAAAAGAGGGTTCAAAGACAAAACAACAAAAGAAAAAGGAAGAGAGGAAAGGCTAGCTGTTCGAGGGGGTTCTTCAATGATTACCCGCTTATAAACACATTTTACCACTAATAAAGTGATAATGTCACAGGTTGATCCATGCTTCCCCCATGTGGGCTTTTGGATTCTAATCATTCTTAAATAATGTCAAGGTCAATCATAAAAGTTAGAACAAGACATTTCAACTAGCTTAGTGTATAGAAAATCCCAAAGACTATGAAGCTTACTCTATTTAGAAAGCTTTTTCATCGTGTATTTTTTCTATTAGAAATATAAAAGAGTGTGACGGGATGGAGAATGTATCAATTAAAAAATCTGAAAAGAATAAAAAGAAAATTTAGTAAAATGCGTTTCCAAACAAAGCCTTAGGTTTCAAGGAAAAAATATAATTAAAAGAACTAGCCTAGCTAATAATTCTATTTAGGTTTCTTTATTTAATTAGGAATGGGGAGGAAAAAGAAGTTAAAGTAGAAAGTTATCCATCATAGATGTGCCTAATTAGACTTTTGTTCACCTAATTACTTATAAGATTATACTATCACAATGAGTAATTGATGTTAATCACTTTGAAACATGCAGTATGTAAATGTTCTTAATGATAAAATTGGACTTTTAGGGACCGCGGACATACCTAACTGCAATGTTGTGTAAACTACCTTAATGAGAGTCTATTTGTACTTCTAGTTAATTAATAGAATTGTTGCACTTGCTAGTTAGTTTATCGTCTTATATATAGGTGACTAAACCCACATTATTTTTCATTACCAAATAACGATATTAGCTAAAATAATCAGGAGTGCCTCAGTAGGAATTTAAAAGAAATGGCATAAAATAAACCAAAAACAAGATGGGGAAAAAAAAAAAGACGCATGTAAAAAAGTGACCTGAGAGTACGTAGCGAAATGAGCAACAAATTAAATCTAGTTCAAACTTCTGAGAACTGTCGTTTTTTTTAATTACTCTTCCCTTGTTCATTAAGAAAAAAAGGCCTAGGAGGTAATCTTGATGCTGGTGCGTTAAAAAATTTAGTATTAAGTAAATGTCACGAAACAATTAAAAACTTTCTTGCATTCAATATGGACGTCTATGTTTACATAAAAATTGAGGCAAAATGAAGAGTAGATAGATTACAAATAGTATTTGATTTTTAGAACAGTTGTCCTTTGTGGAATTTAATTATTCTAATTTTAATCATAGTAAATTCTCGATGAGTGAGGAGAGATCACTACATTTTTGTAGATATAGAGACTCAAACTAAACTACAACTTCTACGTGTATACTTTATCATTTCACAGATAATCAGTTCTAGTAGTGTCTAGAGATGTTGTGAAAAAATGTTAATACATAAACAACGACAATCTTGAGTTTAATATCTTGTTACCAGGAGGTCGAGATTTAGATTTTCACTGAGAATCTAATTCTTTTTAGAAAATGTTTCATTTGCATCAGTTTCTTTTAATATAAATACATAACGTTTGTTTTTTAAACAAGAAAAAAATAAGACTTTAATTATCGTTACTTAACGTTAAAATGAGACGAGATATATGTAACCTAATGTTAATTGCTTAAGAATTGAAGCACGGTCTACCACGCGAAGATGGCAGATAGTACAAAATCAGATATTGGTAAATCTAGGTAACAGTAGCACTCCCATTTATACTAGTTGCGGAATCTCAATATTACATTCATTGGAATTTGTAGTTATTTCTTGTAATGCCTGATATCGAGCAATTGGTTTTCGCAACCATCAGGAGATCTCACTGATTTTACTGTGTTTTATAAATTTAATTAACTGCTATAAAAAATGAGCCAAAACTACTTTCTTTGTCGAAGTTTTACGTTTTTTGAAATAAAATACTACTAGTAATAGAAAATATTGGGAGGGAATCAAACGTTAAAAGGACAAGAGTAATTAAGACAGCTGAAAGAGCAATTGCGAGATCTTGGAGATTATAACTAAAGAAATGTTAGTTCACAATATCCTAGATCTGGGAACAATGCAAATGGTCCATGAGCCACCATGTTACCTTTACATAATTTTAATCCCTAAAATCGCATTCTTCTTTTCTCTGCTTCCTTGAACATAAAAATGACAAGGTTTAACTTTTACTCTCGCCACATTTACCAGCAACCACTAGTCACTAAATAAGAGTGAGTTAAAAAAAATTACTCTAAAAATAAACTACATATTAACTATACTTTCTTTTTAATTTTCGCTCATGTCTAAATGTTGTATTGAATAGGATTTTGAAGGGAGTAAAATACATGATACTCTTTGGATGAATATTTCAAAATATAAGTTATTTTTAAAATTTGAAGATAAAAAAAATCTAATTTGTTAGTTTTACCCTCAATAAATTATGCTAACTCATTTTTTTTTTCACTCAGTCTTATTTATAATTTCAACAATACATTGAATGAGAGTCATAAAAAATACTAGTAGTAGTATTTGGCACACAAATTATTTGTTGATTAATTGTTTCTTCAATTTACGTGAACAATCGAAAATTACTTACAATTCATCCCTCTGGTGTATCTGGTTTCAAGGAATCACTTCACTTCATATTACATTCCTCTATCTTTAACCTCTGTCTAAGTATTACTTTCATCCAATTTAATTAAAGGCACACAATCAAAAAGCATGTTTGTATTTTTATGCAAGCACTTTCATTTGTCACTGACCAGTTGCATCTCCTCTATCATCTTCATTAGGTTATACTCATTCCGTCCCGTTCCCGTTTTCGTGGGATGGATAGGGTTCTATGTATAGTCGAAATCACCATTCTTTTCCAATCTGATTTTATAGTGTTTGTAATGTTTTTATTTTTCAAATTTGGACACATAAATTATGCTCCTAGCTAGATAGTACCTATCCCTCCTCCTAATCTTGCAACTGCAAGGTGAAAATGATAGTGTAGGTGTAGCTAGGTTGTTTATGGGCATATATATGTATTCCATTTTGAGGGAAGATTTTTCACAAATTTTGGGTGACTCTCTGAATGCTGTCTTTTGTCTCAATCATATCCTACATTCCTTTACTTTGATAATTTGATTAATTTCTTAATCCTACCCTATCAAGTTATAGCAATATCAAGCACTCTTTCCACGCACAACATCAGATTGAAAGGCCATTTTCTCATTAAAGGAGGGAAGGGGCGGGGAGTAATAATAATATATATAAAGGCCTAATTCGAAATTGGTTGATTTGTTTTTAGGCTATATCTTTATTTATTGTATTTTTATTTCTCTTTTTTTTTTTTGAGACTGCAACCATAGAGGGAGTACTGCGTTTTCTTAAAAAAAAAAAGAAATATTTAGGTGTGACCATTTTCCTTTTAATTGATCAAGTTTGCGATCCTTTAGTTTTTGTTTTGTTTAATTGGGAAAATAACAAATTTTCTATACATATTGAATCATCAAATGTCATTGTCTTATTGCTCTACTACCACCACGTATCATGCAGGGAATAAAAAGAAAATTCTCTGTTGCTTTCAAAGGTTCACATATTGTCACAAATCTAAAAGCATGACATCACTCGGTCTTCAGTTTTCAACTCTCCCTCTTCTACATTCTCCATCTTTAATTTCTAGTAGTTCCATAAAGAATGAAGTTGAACAATGATTTGTATGTATTATAGAATCTCATAAATCACAATTAGACTAAGTTAGCATTTTGTTAGAATGCGAGTAATTAATATGACAACCAAGAAACAATCTTGATTAAGTTTGTTGAGAGACCATCCAATTTAATTTCAAACATTAAAATCTTTTGACTTGTTTTGAGACAATGGTGAGCTGGTTACAGCTTTAACCAAAGACTACTACACATGCTCATCCTCTCAACCAAGCAACACAAGTATAAAAAAGAAGCCTTTGCTAAGGGAATGATTTATATAAAACATAGATTGACCTTTTCATGAAATGAGCTATTCTATCTCAATAAATCGCCTCTTCATTTTCCCTATACGTGCAAGAGTGGAAGAAAAGGAAGAGAAATGAGAGAAGTAAACCAATATTAAAATACGTATATATGATTATTATTATTCTCGATAACAAAACTTATCGTCCCAATTAATTCAGATTCGAGTCAAGTTTGTATAATACATTTTCCTCAAGTAATTGATGCATATTGAAACCAATGTACTGCCCTCCTACTTTCTTCCTTTTCCCTCCTGATGACTCCTCAGAGTCAGAGTCACAACAAAAACAACAAAGAAGTCAACAACAGAACAGACATGGGAAAACAGAGAGAGATTCGAAACTGAAATCCTCTTTTGATCTCTCTCTCTCTTTCTTCTCTATCAAATTTATTGTCCACTGATCAATTTTTGTTTTTTTTTAAACTCTTCTGCAGTTTTCTTTGTCCCCTGTTTTTCTTCCATATCGCACACAGCCAGCTGATCAGATCAAATGAATGACTTCTCTAATAATTACCCATCTCCATCTCCGTCTCCGTCTCCGGCCGGAGATCGTGGGACCCTTTCGACCGCTACTCCTCCAGTGAACTGCTCATCCCGGCATTGCTGCCGCCTCGGAGGCGCACGCCACCACCGCCACGTCACCAACAACGCCGTCACCGGCGCGAAGAGGAGGACGTTGGAGGACGAATTATACGGAGATCCCGTCAAATGCACCGGCAAGTCCTGCAAATCGTGCACCGCCGGAGTCATCGCCGACTGCGTGGCGGTCTGTTGTTGCTGCCCCTGTTCGGTGGTGAACATCATGGTGTTCACGTTTCTGAAAGTCCCGTGGATGGTCGGCCGGCGAATCTTGAGGCTCGGGAGGAAGAGAAGGAGGAAGCAGAAATGCTTGAGGGCGGCGGGAGAAGAAGAAGATCAAGAATCCGGGTCCGGGGCGGCAACGGCGGATGACCCGGAAGAAATGAGTGGTGGGATTTCGAGAAAAGGGAGGTCTTCTTTTACATTGTCGTTTCCATCAACATTAACGTCGTCTTCAAGGTCAAGGGGGTTGGATTGGACCGGGGCGTTGCCGGAATTTCAGTTGCCCGGAGATGAATATTACGAAGAGCTCAAAGACCGGCCCGGAGATCAGGACGGTGCATGGTTCGAGGCAGAGCAACAAGTTTGGTTTGAGTTGCATCAACATCATCAAATCGGCCACTTGGGTTTTGGTAGGGTTTCTTTCACCGGGATTCCGATTCCCTGTAATTGAATTTATATCGGAATTTCAGGGAATCAATCAACAGCCAATGATTCAGTTCCTGGTGTTTTCTCTTTCTTTTTCATTTCCTTTTCCTTTTTTTTTTTTTTTTGGTTATGCTTCCAACCAAAATTTTTAGCCAGCTACCAAAAGGGGTTGGTTACTAATCAGTTATGTGAAATTAGTGTAATTAAATTAGGATTATTGGGAGTCTGTCTAGGTTTTTTGCCATTAGGCCTTGCATTTTTATGATGTATTGATGATTGAATATGCAAGGAATTAATGGTAAAGAGAAACAGAGGTTGATTAAATTTACTTTTGTACTTCTACTATTACTACTGAGAATCACTGATTATGAAGTTGTACGTAACGTTTTTTAATGCTGGCACATGAAGCCATGTCTCCTTTGGAGTCTGAAGCTATTTAATTAATTTCTTCGCATATGTCAATATTTTTCTTCTGGGTGTAATGGCCTAATTAAGGTAGTGTAACCAGTTTATATTTTATAAGACAACTTTTTTCCTGTCTTTTATTTTATACTCCATCGGTCCCATAATTATTGTGCAGTTTGAGTTTTCATTTTTAGTTTAAATTGTACTAAAAGTGAAATTTCAAACTGAACAATAATTTTGGGACAGAAAGAAAGAGTATATATGTAGCAATCATATTAAGATTAATGATGGGGAAGGAGCTCCGTTGCCCGAATTAGAGAACCTTCTTGGAAGACTTCAGCTTCTCGATACGAGTTTTTTTCCAGAAGATTAGATGAAAATTAAATTGAATGCGAGTATAAGTAAAAGATCTTTTATATTTTACACTTTTGCTAATCTTAAAATTAAAACGATGCTCGATCTATTAAACAATCTTTTTCTCGCAATTAGTGCATTTGGGTTCAAAAGCAAAAGTATGCGTTTTGTATAATCAGGATGACCAACTTCTTGTTTAGGGCCTTTAGGCTTTTTGTCCCCTTTCGCCTTTCAACTCTCTCACAAATGACCATTCACACAGATTGCAATAGATTCAAGAACTTGAATTTGCATCATTGTGATTTTCCCTTTTGTTATTTTATACATTACTTTTGTGTTTTGCTCAAAACACCAAATGAGAATTGCAAAAAATTAAAACTTTTTTTTATGAAAATAGTAAAGTAACTTTTTGATATTAATTTTCCTCCTCCTTTATTCGCTTTTGATCAATGTTATAATCAGGTGCATGGCGCTTGCAAATGGGGAGAGAAAAATATGAAAAAGGCTACAACCGCGAACGGAGAAATGATTAACAGCATCTATACCAGCTTTATCCTCTTATTATTCTATGTTGTATTGTTCAGCTACCGATCAAAACAAAGTTAGGCATACATTTTATTCTAATAATGTAGAAGGGCATCATCATAATGATCGCATTTGTGAATAATAACGATTCAAATTAACTTAGACATCAGTTGCAAAAAACAAATAATCCATGTTCAACGGGATGTTAAATGTTTTCGATTGCAACTGGACAATAACTTTAAAACAAAAAAATGGTACATATATTAAAAGCACTACTCACCTTCAATGTATAGGTGGCCGAATACAAGTAAGTGAAGAACACTGACTGAGGTTGCAGCATTGTCCGAAAATACATATGGCAATTAATAATCTTGGCTGCAGGGGATCACAGAAAAATCACTTCCTTGCAAATTGCAAATTTACCTGATCTCAATCAAGTACTCAAGCAACAACAACAACATATTCAGTATATACTCAATTTGGTTGGGGTCTGGGAAATCAAGATGTACGTAGCCTTACCCCTATTTTCAATACAGAGAGGCTGATTAACTAGTACGACCTAAGATACATTGGAGCATTAATATATTGATTTCCGACAACTTCACCAAATTAAGAAGTGTTGGAATTTAAATGAGTCATTTTGATATAATCTATTATTAGCAAAAAGGTGAAGGAATTGTCAATAATGACTCTTCCAGCTCCATTTGCAATGGATAAAAATCAAGTACTCAAGCATGCTAAGAAAATTAATATCAATCCGTTTAGGGTAGTTTTCTAGGGGGTAAAAATCCGGTACAGGAAAAGCAGAATATATATCATGCTCTTAGTTTTATCATTAATTGAAGTAAGAAAGTGTATATACACATGTTCTTAGTTTTATGAAAGTGAATTTTCGTACTACCTCTTAAAACTGTAGCCACCACACATAAATTAGGTAATGAAAATTCTGGCTGTATATATTCTAAAATAAGGCAATGGGAGATCAGAGAAGTTGGAAAAGAAAAAATTTGCAGCTGGGAATAACAGTGTGGAATGTGGATTGGTTCAAAATGGGGAACAAAAACAACTACATTTGAACAGCTGTTACTGGTGAAAGGTGTAAAAGCATTTTTTGTCAACTCTTTTCTTCTGGCTGCATGCGAAGGAAATTAATGAATGCAATACAAAACAAAACCCCTGAATGCCTGCACAAATTGGGTTAAAAATGGTTAGTTCACCAGTAGTTGTAATGGTGCTTGTACAGTTAATTTGTATTGGTCTTACTGTTCACACCACTAACTAATGTTCTACACTTTTTTGTTTGGTTAACCGTTAACATCGCGATCTATGACAAAGATTTTTTTTTTTTTTTTGGTACGTTAAAACTTGTGTCCGATAAAATTATTTTCGATAAATATTATTAATTATGTCTCAAAATAAGGGACCGACTAGAGTCCTGTTACGAGACGGTTCCGTTTTAAGATAATAACCGTAGAATTAATTAGGCTAATTAACAATCGTAGGATTACAATGAGGGTATATCATAGGTAAATATACATAAACACACATGATTAAACTGAAAAAAAAAATTAGAGAAATTGGTTAATTTTGCCCAAAGCTTTAAGTATCTAGCCAATTTGACCCAAAAAGATTTTTACGAAACCAAATTCATCATCCAAGTTTCAATTTCTGGCCAATTTCATCTAATTGACAAAAATTTCGTTAGATTTAACACCTCCGCTGAGATTCCGTTACGGATAAAATGAAGGTTGTACCCAAAGTTTTAACCGTCGTTAATTTTGTCCTTTACGTTTGAAATTTTTGCCAATTTCATCCAATTGGCCCAGTTTCCGTTAAACTTAAGGGATTCAAGTTAATTTTTAACAAAAATATTTCTTAATAGTATCAAAAAATTATAAAAATAACCCCAAAATATGTAAAATCAACAAAATAATCTCTTTTTATTATTTATTTATTTATTTTTATTTCATTTTATTTCTCTTTACTACTTTTTATAACCATCAAAATATATTATAAGATCTTTAAAATAATAAATATTTATTTTCAAACTCTATTTTTTACGTACAAACATGTGAGTTTGGTTCAGAAGTAACTTTGTCATATTTTTAAAATTGTAATTTTGTAAAAAATTACTAAAGCGCGTGGTTAATTGAACCGTTACAACAAATTTTGTAAAACTTCATTAATCTATTTTGTACTTTATGTTACGAAAATTTTCTAAAAATATAATAAATAAAATATCGTAAATAGTTATTTTGACCAATGAGTGTATGTATAAATGTAATATTTATGTCACATATGTAACACTATAATACTCGCAAAAAAAAAAGAGAAACAGAATAAACTTTCAAATTTATTAAAGCTAAAAAAATAAATTTGTTTAAAAATATAACTAAAGTCATGTTTGGGATTGGAGTTTGGTGTGCCCTTAACGTAAATTATTTAAAAGTACTACCCTCTTTATGAATTATTTATTATCCACTATCCTTTATGTAAATTTTCCCAAAAAGATTTAGACGGGTCGAGTATTCTTATTACAGTCTTATTTGTACTTTTGTACAATCCCTTAAAAGAATTGGTGTTGGAGTTAAAAGTAAAACCTCAAATTTGGAGAAAATTAGAGGTATCACATTCAAGCAAAGATTCAAAAAATGAAATACAAGAAGCTCCAATTATGTGGATGATTATTTGTTCGAATGACATATGACTGGATAAACAACATGTTTAATGGGGGAAGAAATTGGGTTAAACATGAATGAGTATAAATATGGACGACTTCATGCATGGAAATGGAGTCAAATGAAATCTTTAAAATGTGTTAAATGAATAAAGACCAGAGGTTTATCTCTCATTATTGTGATCCTAAAGTGTTGAAGGTAAACAACTCAACGTTGGGGATTTAATAGATAAGTTTGAATTAATCGAATGACATCAAAAATTCTTTTCACTGTATGATTGAAATATATACAATGTAATTACTCAATATAGTTGAACTCATTAAAGTAAGATACATTTGTTATAACCAAATTATTCAAGAACGATCCTTGAGAGAGAGTAAACGGGTTCCATCAATTAGGTGTTGGATTAACATCTCTAAAGAGAGGCAAGCGTAAAGATAATTCTCAAATCAACAAGAGTGGATGTGTCATGTGTTTCAGTGTTCAAAAGTATGGTACGTTCTTCAGTAATGATGAGCGCTCGCTTCTTTTGAAGAGGTTTGTAAGTTGTATGGGCTTTCATATTAAATTGGCTGGGCTTCATCATTTGACGATCTGAAGATGAAAAGGAAAACGTTTTGGGCTTCACGGCATTCAGCCCGCAAGGGTCAATTGTGTTTGTTTGTTTGTTTTTTTTTTTTTTTTTTTATAGATTTTGATTGAGTTGTGGTTAGAATTTCTTGTTAGTGTCCGTGAGTTTGGTTTGGACTACTTGAACTCATTCAATAGGATGTTTTTATCTAACCTTATGGCTTCCCAAGTATATATATTACGGGACGGTTTCGTTTTAGGATAATTACCGTAGGATTAATTAGACTAATTAATAATCTTAGAATTAAAATGAGGGTGCATCATAAGTAAATACACCTTTTTTTTTGGGAAGAAACAAACTTTCATTAACGATTACTGGAGATGGTCCAGCACCAATTGAGAAACAAAGTCTGGGAGAGTATTCCAGACCGTTTCAATTACAGAGGCCGATTTGGCAAACTTAGCAAGAGAATGAGCTATTATATTGTCCGATCGCGGAATCCAAGAAAGATGAGAAACCGGTAAATCGTGACAAATATAGATTACGTCTTCTAAAACAGGAGCACAGGCAGAAGGACCGTCAGTCTCCTTCATAGCTGCCAAAATGATTAAAGACGAATCGCCTTGAATAGCCACATTTGTAAAACCAAGCCTTCGACAGAAAAGTGAAGCTTCTCGCTAAGCAAGGGCTTCCGCTAAATCAGAATCAATGACTTTTTGGAAATTGACGGGATAAACCATGCATGAACTTCCGGTAAATCAGAATCAATGACATCCGGAAATTGACGGGATAAACCATGCATGAACTGACCTTCTAGATTTTGGATAACTATTCCAGCTCCAGCGCATTTACCAGTGTGAGAGATTGAGCCGTCGAAATAAACTCGAATGGCATTAGGTGGAGGGGGCTGAAATATTGGCATGGTTCGCAGATGTTGATCTGCCTGATCCTGATTTACTCTCAACTCCATGAAATCACGAACTGTTCTGCTGGATTGAAGGACAACCGCCCATGGAGAAATTGTCGTTTGATCAAACAACTTCGCGTTCCGAGCTTGCCAAATCCCTGAAAGCAAAGTGATCAGGAAGGAGGCAGAAGCAAAATGATTATCCAGTATCAAAGCACGCAACCATAAATCACAATGCGTGCATTGCCGCAAGAGAATCTAATCATGAAGGCCAGCAATGCTGAAGACTTGTGTAGCAAACGGACAATCAAAAAAGATGTGGCAATTGTTCATTGAATTCTGATGACAGAACTCACATGACAAGTCAAAGTTCAAATGTCTGAGGGCCAAATTTCCTGGAGTTGGGAGAGCATTGTTGCTGAGACGCCAGGCAAACAGAAGGATACGATTTGGGACCTTCAGATTCCACAGCTTCTTCTAAAGAGGATCACGAATTCCAGTCGGAATAGCTGATGATGATCTGGTTTGATGACTGAATTGCGGAGAGTAGCAGCTGAAAATAAGCAGAGCGGACAGTATGGTGACCTTTCTTAGTGTAATGCCAAATCCATCGATCAGTGGACTGAGTTTGTGGTAGTGCCATGGACAGGATTGATGTAGCTTCCAAAGGAGGGAAAATTGAAGAGATAAGATCCCTGTTCCAATCCATAGGATCATGAAGCATTAAGTCTGAAACAGTTGCTGTAGCTGGTAGAATTTGCGGAGTTGAAGTCGTACGAAAAGAGGGCTCAAGAGGAATCCATCTGTCATACCATATGTTGGTCTGACTGCCACTCCGAATCTGTTTCCTGCAACCGATTTCTAGAACTTTCCTTCCTTCAAGAATGCTTCGCCAAGTCCAAGAGGGTCGCAATCCAAGATTGGCATCGAAGAATTTCTGCGACAGAAAGTATTTAGCTTTCAAAACACGGGAAAGAAGGGAATGTGGTGTTGTGAGGAGCTTCCAAGCTTGCTTGCTTAACATTGCCATGTTAAAAGCCTTCAGGTTACGAAAACCCAACCCTCCATCTTTCTTGCTATGGGACATTGATGACCAAGAAGACGAGTGAATTTTCCTTCTGTCTGATGAGCACCCCAGAAAAAGGTGTTGGACATGGATCGTAGATCTTCTAAAACATTACCTGGAAACAGAAAACAAGACATTGCATAAGAAGGGATGGATTGTATTACAGATTTAATCAATATCTCCTTCCCAACCCTAGAAAGTGATTTGGAACTCCAACATTGTAGCCGTTGCCAAACCCTATCTTTTATGCTTGAAAACACCTCTTTCTTGCACTTGCCGACAACTGATGGTAATCCAAGATACTTGCCATGGCTCTCTACTTCAGGAATTTTGAAAATGCTACAAACCAAAGTTTTGATATGGTCTTGAGTATTAGGGCAGAATAATATTCCAGATTTCTCCAAATTAATTCTTTGGCCTGACACTCGCTCATAGAGTTGAATAGCCCACTAAAAGTAGTGTGCTTCATTTTCCGTTGCATGGCCAAAAAGTAGTGTGTCATCAGCAAAGAAAAGTGAGAAAGTTTAGGAGCATCCCGAGTAACACCAATATCATGTATGCGACCACAGTTTTGAAGATCCTGCAGTAAAAAAGAAAACACCTCCGAACAAAGGATAAAAAGATAAGGGGAGAGGGGATCGCCCTGACGAATCCCTCTTTCCAGTATGAGATTACCAAATTGTTCACCATTCAAAATGAAAGAAAATCGAACAGATGAGAGATATGTGTGAATCAGGTTAATGAAAGCTTCGCAAAACCCTAGAGCTTTTAAAACTAATTTCAAAAAGCACCACTCAACTCTATCAAAGGCTTTGCTCATATCCAATTTGATCGACAATAAACCAGTGTTGCATTTAAGACGAACTTTCATATGGTGGTGGGTTTCATAAGCCAGAAGGACATTATCAGTTATTAGATGACCCGGAACAAAGGCAGACTGTGACTCAGAGATGATGGAGGGAAGAAGTAAACGCAACCTATTAGAAATGACTTTAGAGCACAATTTGTACACGACATTACATAAAGAGATTGGACGAAATTGAGTAATAATGTCGGGTTTTTTTACTTTTGGAATTAGCACTATATGAGTGTAGTTCATTCGAGGATTAAAATCATCTAAATTTAAAAAAGTCAAAACAAAGGAGGTAACATCAATACCTATAATATGCCAGAATTTTTTGAAAAAAATTGGACTCATACCATCAGGACCGGGTGATTTGAAGGATGCCATTTCCTTAAGCGCTTTTACAACTTCATCTCCTGTATAAGTTTGCATTAGTCGACCATTCATATCCGAAGTCACTTTTGGATGCAATCTGCTAACAACTCGCTGGATTTCGGACTCAAGGGGGCGAGAAGAAGAGAAAAGAGAGCCATAGTAGTCCATTATAATATTCTCCAAATCATGAGTTTCATGTTTCAGCTTCCTCAAGTTATCTTTAAGGCCTGAAATGTGGTTTATGGACGTTTGTTGGCGAAAGCATGAAAAAACTTGGTATTACGGTCTCCCTCCGTATACCAATGTTGCTTGGCCCTTTGCTTCCACCTAAGATTTTCCCTTTCCAACAACAAATCCATCTCTCTTTCAAGTTCGCCCAGCTTCGAACGTTGTGGATCATCAATTCTTCCCCGTTGTAACATCAGGATTTCTTTCTTCAGGAAAACAATTCTCTTCTCAAAATCAGTTTGGTGATGCTTGCTCCAATTCAGAAGACCGACCTGGACATGCTCCGAATTATCCTCCAAGCTTCCAAGGTCAGAGTTCCAATGTTCCTCAATGATTTTTTCACAATCAGCAACACGCACCCATTGTGCTTCAAAACGAAAAGGCTTCCATTTCCGACTCGATTGATGTGCAACTCCTCGACCACGCAATTGGATGTGTAACATCATATGATCAGAGAGGAACATAGGAATGTGAGAGACAGAACTCCATGGATATAGATGAAAGAGGTTGGAATTGCAAGTTGAACGATCAAGGCGTGCCGGTTAAGTTTGCGGATGAGGAAGGAGACGTTGCCAAGTAAATTGATAACCCTCATAACCCATATCCTGGAGTTCAAGATGATTAAGCGCATCACGAAAATGATGGATTTGCCAATTAGCTCGTGGACGGATGCCTTGAAACTCTTCCTGTGTCAGAACTTCATTAAATCACCAAATAAAACCCACGGTTTTCGGTCAGGATCAAACATCGACTTCATCTTATTCCAGGCTTCCCTTCTTAGTGACACATCAGGTTGGCCATAAACTCCGGTGATCCGAATTGAATGACTCTTTAATTCAGCATCTACATCGATCATTCTATCAGAGAAACCACGCAAATTTACAACAATTTCCTTCTGCCAAAGCATAGCCAAACCACCCAAATTTCCATTCGCTGCAACACAAACACCGAACATATGTAACTTATATTAAGACGTTGAATATGAACTTGATTGCATTTGGTCTCACATAAAAAAATCACAAGTGGGGATTTTTCACCTGCGATCTTGCCTAGCTCATCGAACTTCCGGGAACTCCCCAATCCCCGGCAGTTCCAGCTTAAAATACTCATGGAGCTGGGGGGGATTAGGTCGATTGCCCAATCTCCACCACACCGCCATCCATAGAAAGTTGAGAAGAGGAAGAAACACCAGAGATAGCAAGATTATTCAGACGGGGCTTTTTCCCAATTACTTCAATGTCCACCATGTGAAGATCTTGGCCATCGAATTCGTCCAGAAACAATTTGCGCTTTCCTGAAGTTGAGGAGGGAATATTTACAGAATCATTCCGTAGAATGCGACAGCGAGCTGTTTGAAACCTACGGGCTACCTTCCTAGCAGGGGAATCAAGGGTCATTGGAACCGTCACCAAATAGGGACTGGGGAGAGGTGGAATTGTGGAGTTTGGGACATTCTGTTGGTCTAATGGGGTGGAGGAATGATCAGAAACTGGACTCATTTCATTGTCAATCAGGGAGGAAGAAGTTGGTGTTTGACAGTGCGCTGTTTGAAGACAGCGCACTGTTTGAAGACAGCTCACTGTTTGACAGCTGTTTGAAGACAGCATGCTGTTTGAAACCGGTGGGCTGCCTTCCTAGGACTGAGGGGAGGTGGAATCGTGGAATCAAGGGTCATTGGAACCATCGTTAAATTAGGACTGAGGGGAGGTGGAATTGTGGAACATGGGACATTCTGATGGTCTTGGATTGAGGAAGACAGAGACAAGGATGATGGAGAATCTTTTGACAGTGACGCTGGTAAAATATGGAGTTTGGAGGAGTGAGTTGAGTTATTGAGCAAACTGTGAGATTGTGATGAGAGGTTTCCGATTTTTGGAGAAGTATGTGTGATGGCAGCAATGTTTGGAGGGTTGCTTGGAGAGTTCAGAGCATCCACCGCATTGTGAGAGTTAAGGGGATCGTTGAAAACTGGACAAGAAGCATTGGCATAATCAGGTGATGATGAACACTGTCCTTTAGATGGCAGAGACAGAGGGGTTGATAGACATGGTGTTGTGGTGGGATAAGAGAGTGAAGGTGGCATATCAGGGGGGGAAACAGTATGTGGAAGAGGCGGGAAAGAGGCTAAAGGTGGCATTTCGGAGGAAGGATTGACACATGGAAGTGGCGAAGAAGCAGGAGGGGAGTTGGTGGAATTAGGGTTTGGGTTGGATGTTGAAGGAACGTGGGATAATGGAGTGCGGTTTCTGCCTGTTGTGGCAACATAGTGGCTTTGGCGGTCATGGTATGGAATAGTTTCGTCATCCGAATCTTCAGGAACGTGGGAAGGGCCTGGTTCATGTGCTGGACGTCGTGAGACAAACGGATTCCAGTGACCCGTCGCCTTAAGCCAACTACCATACTGTGGTGGCAGAACAGAACTTCCGGCAGCAAGTGGCCTCGTCGGACAACCGCTTTCGATGTGACCAATAATCCCACAATGGTAGCAAAACTCCGGTAGCCTTTCGTACTGTAGGGGGATTTTGATCTCCTTTCCTTCATGTTCAAATTGAAGAACCCTATTAGAGAATTTTGAATATTGATATTCACCTTGATCCTGAGAAAACGGCCAATACAATTGTGATCCCGATCCCAAAAAACATCCAAGAACTGTCCAATGAGGTTTCCAACATAACGAGCAAAATCCTCATTCATCAGATCCAAGGGACAGTTGTGTAACTGGATCCACCATGGGCACATATTAAAATCCGCATCGAGATCATCAGAAGTTTAAGCACCAATAAGTGTTTCTGACCCAATAACCAGGGTTCTCCATGTAAAACCCGTGCTCTATCCATTCGGTTATTGAATTTGAAGAGGACCTTGTTGTCACCCACAGGCTTCACTGTGAATCCATGGCGAAGAGACCAAATATTCCGGCAATGAGCGCCAATGGAGTCATGAGAAACTACTCTCGGGCAGTGGAGCTTCCCAACAATCGTGAGGGAGGGATCAATATGAGTAATATTCAACGAACTGGTGGAATGGCGAACTGATTCAGTCTCCTCAAAGATAAGCGCCCGATGATGGATTCTAACTCCTCCCCAGTAGCCATCCAGGCAAAAACTACCCAGCAGAACAACCACAAGTGAGGAACGAGTATAAAAAGTTGATTAGTGCAAACTATACAGCAAAGACAAGATCTGCAAAAGTCAAAAAGAAAACAAGACTAAAATAGGTTAGAAAACAGGAAACAACAGCGAAAGTTTCGAACATATACGAGAAGAATTGGGAATTTTAATTGAAGAAGAAAGAGGATTTGTGTTATTATGATTTCATATAAGAAGAAACGAAGAGGAAGATTTAGGGAAGATGGTATGAGAATTGAAAGAGATTTGATGAGAAAACAAGGAGAATCGATTTGAAAAGGACTTAGAACTCCGGGTGGAAATTATCAATCCATGAAAGAGGCTTCATGAAGGACTCTAAACGGAAAGGACTCTCAAAGAAAACTCCCAGAGAGAGAAACTCTAGAACTTTTTGATAGCAGGAGCTGTATAAGTAAATATACCTAAATCTACATGATTAAACAGAAAAAATTTAAGAAAATGATCAATTTTGCCTAAAACTTCAAGTGTCTGGCCAATTTTGACCCAAAAGATTTTTGGGAAGCCAAATACATAATCTAAGTTTCAATTTCTGGCCAATTGACGAAAATTCAGTTAGATTTAATACCTCTGCTAACTTTTTGTTACTTTGTACAATTTTTTTATTAGAAAAAGTTTTTGCGGACCCCATAATTTTGACATCTTTACCCCCAACGATTTTAGTTGTTCTAAAATATACCCATAGAATTTTCAAAATCAATAAAATAATTAAAATAATAAAAAATTGTTCTTAAAAAATTTAAATTTAATTTTTTTAAAAACTTTTTCTTTCTTTTTTTTTTTACCTAAGTCTATCACTGTAACATTTTCATCCTATATTTTATCAATTACAATGAAAATATTTATTTTCTAACAAATTAATATTAAATAAAATAATACTAAATTAATTAAAAATTAAAATCACAACTAATAAAATAATATAATATTAATAAAAAATTATTTTTAAAAAATCAAAATTTAATTTTTTTAAAAAAAAGTTTGACGTACTAATTAAACTCCCGCCCATCACTATAGAATTTTCATTCTATTTCATCCTATATTTTGTAGATTCTACAATTTTTGTTAGAATCTACTAATAGGTAAATATAACTCACAACAATTTCAAAAATTAAAACATATCTAAAATAAGATATTAGATTATAATAAAATCTTAAATTTTAACTTAATTATTCATTTTATCAGAACTTTTTGTAAAATTTAATATTTTTACTTTATTCTAAGGGCATCAAATTAAAAATTATATCAAAATTTGTGCAAGGAAGGTACATTTAGTTTTAAAAAAATTTCCTTTGAGTTTCAGAAATTAAACTTTCTAAATTTTTACTAATTTAATATTTATTTTAATTCTTAATTATTTTTATGAATATAATTATTTTAATATTTGTATTAAGATTTTATTCAATATTAATTTTTTTGAAAAATAAATATTTTTTATTCCAAAAATACCCTATTGACTTAAATATAAAGATGGTCAAACTCTTAGAATAAAGACGGTAAAAGTCAAACTCTTGGAATAGTGCCAAAGAACAAAAAAAGTTACAAATAAAAATACAAAGAACTGTTTTAGCCAAATGTTAATTTATAAAATCAAAATGTGCATTTGGTCTAATAAAAGACCATGATACCAAAAGAGTAATTAGTTTGAGAAATTGTAGAATGTTTCTCACCCCATGATTACATCTTATATCCTCAGTATTGATGAGTTGAAGATAAAACGGTACGGTTCCGTAAAATTGACCAACGAGACTCTAGATTTTCCCATATATATATATATATATATAAAGATTTTGATTAAGTTTTCTGAAAATGTAGAAATGAATATTAAAAGTATAAACACTTTAATCGCAATAATTTCGAAAATGCAATGCGATTCAGCAACCAAAAATGCAGCAATACATGTTGTTTCCTTTTCTTTTTCCGTTTAAATAACATGACTCTAATTTGGTTCCCTTTTTTGTGTACCTCGATTGATAACACAAAAGTTATTGACTCTAAGTTTTATGTGAAAGAATAAAAAACTATTTAAGAGAATTTAATTTATAAAATTTTGTATTTCCTGTCCTGTATATATATGATCTGCAACTCCTCATGTCAAATTATTTTCCTTTCACGGTTCCGCCACTTGCATGTGTAGAGAACACAATTAGGTATTATCACTTAATGATTTCATTTTTGTCTCCAACTGAAGGTGGAAAAGTTGAGGAAATTGACAAATTTTTATTTAGTAAAATTAGATGTTAAACTCGTCTGTTGGACATATAGAGAAACTTAAAATAAAAATTATAAAATAGAGAAAAATGAAATATTGTACACCTTAAATCCCAGAAAAATATCGATATAGAGTTTTGAGATTTTTACTAAACACTTTATAAATCTCAAAACTTAATTTAGACTATTTTTTTGAGCACGGGGAGTATTATATTCCTTTATAAATTTTCTGTTGAAAAAAAAAGAGGTATAAATATAATAATATTTTTTCAGGTTATAGAGAAAAAAAATGTTAATAAAATATCATATTATTTTTTAAACATCAAATCAAAATTAGAGGGAAAAAAAAAAGATTAAAACCAATGGTATACGCAATCCATCAATTTTAGATGTTTTATCCGTCTACTTATTTAAATTAGTCTGTTAGCGTTTTCTATTAAATAATTAATTTTGCCTCAAACTTTACCTTTTCGAAAGATTTTTATTTTGAAATGTAATGATGGGGTATCTATTTTCTCATTATTAATATCGTTCAACATATTGTTTCCTCCATTTAATCTGTTTTTAGTGATTCTCAATTTCTTTATACTCATTTTTTGTCTTAACTTATTATCATTTAGTTGTTCTACCAACTTATTCATTTATTTTAATTTATTTTTGTTCCCAAATTAATGTTCATTTTGCTTTAGTTCTAATATTTTTATACTCCCTCCGTCCCATAATTATTGTCCACTTTGCCCAAAAAATTTTGTCCCAAAATTATTGTCCAATTTGACTTTTTATGGATCAAGTTACACATATGTCCTTAGTAAAAAACATTATCCATAAAATCTTAGTGGTTAAGCAATTACTTATGTAAGGGTATATCCGGTTGTTTAAGTTAAAATATAATTAAGTTTGACCAAAAATAAAATCTTTCATTTTAGTAAAACTGGACAATAATTATGGGACGGAGGGAGTATATCTTAAATTAAATTTAACAGTGAAAATATAGTTTTCTCCTCAGAGATACCAATTGAATATTTTTCTCTATTCAATACATTTTACGTGATTTTGAAAGATTTTTCATTGGAAACATGATTTAAAAAACACAGTTTGATGAAAAAAATTAAAAAGGAAAACCTTTTTCTTTTTGGCCTCAACTCTACCAATTTTCATGGATTTCCAACTTAACGGGAACAGTGGGATAATTCTTTTTTTTTTTTTCTCCTTAATGGAGTTTCATGGATTCGCCTTTTCTTTCATGTATCTGTATTCGGTTATTTTTGTGATTGTTTGCTTGTTTATTTCCTTATTTGGTGTTTTTTGGCATACTCTACTTGATCATTCATTTTGCATTCGTAGAGAAAATGATTAGGTACTATCACTTAAAGATTTCATATTTCTCTCCAACTAAAGGTGGAAAAGTTGAGGAAATTGACAACGTTTTATTTAGTAGAATTAAGTGAAACAGATGATGTGGTTAATTAGACATGGTTTAGAATAAACACCAAAAAGAAATTTTTTAAAAAGGAAAAGAATAGACAATAAAGAATGAATCATGATCATTCCGGTATGTCGATTATAGTTACGGATTGAAAGTGACATTTCCATGTTGAAACACTAAAAATACCCCCACATCCATTCCAAAGTAATTACAATAATAAACAAGAATACCTGTCTACAATAATAATAAAAATTAAAAAAAAAACGAAATATGTATTTAATTACTACAATAAAAAGTGTGAACTTTAAATTTTGCACCACTTTCGTCCCAAAATATTAGTGCAGCTAACAACACAAGTATCTTGGATGAGAGTAAAATGGAGGAGCGTATGAGTACCAAAAATATAAATTATGCGCCCAAAAAATACACACAATACACACATGACATTTCCTTTATTCACAAATGTTCAAAAGCAACAAGCATTATACATCACAACACTGTCTCTGCTTGCGCAAATTACAAACCACCAAAAGTGGGGCGACAATCATTTTACAAAAAAAAAAAAAAAGTAGTAGTAACAAAAATACAACATTCATGATCCAGACATCTGGGGATCATCATCAAATCACCAAACCATCAATCACCACACAAAAGAAAATCGAATAAAGAAAGAAGAAAGCAAACAGTCACGTCCATAATCTTTCTTCCTTACCCAAATTTCATCATGCACAAATATATGCACATCCTTTATTTGAAAAAAAAGCACACTCTTTTTTAAATATTACTCCCTCCGTCCCAAAATCATTGTCCACTTTGAGTTTTCATTTCTAGTACAAATTATATTAAAAGTGAGAACCCAAACTAGACAATAATTATGAGACAGAGAGAGTAATATATTTTCACAACCACGATTCTTCCTTCTGAACGGTTGCCGGCGAAGGCGTCGGCGTTCAGCGGCGGAAGCTGCGGACCTGGCGAGGAGTTTCACCGGCGGCGACGGGTTCGTCCTGGAGTTTGACGACGGTGTATACGGTTGCTCCGGCTAGGGCCCCGAGGGTGGGGGCCACCAGGTACACCCAAATTGACTTGTAGTTTCCAGCTGCGACTGCGGGGCCCAGTGTCCTCACGGGATTCATTGAACCTCCACTCGACGGCCTAAATATAGTAGGGAGGAGACGAGACCACCAAACGAATCTCATCAAATAATACACTTCACAAACAAAATGATCTCAACAAATATAATAATGCATTGTGATTGAATCTCTAACCCAGACCATCATATTTTCTTATAATTACTATCATAAAAAAACGATAATCAATTATAGTAGAAGAAACTGAAAAAAAAAAGTGTCACTTAAATTATATTTCGGCAGATGGAATCCAACGCAATTTTCCTATTTACGTAACATAAATAGATCAATGTTAAGTTTTTGCTTCTTTCATAACACCAATCGGAAAAAACTAGCGCTAACATACTTTTTAAATATTATAATTGGTCTTACACTATATTATTAGACATGTGTATAAATATACTCACAAAAATTCATCTCACAACAAAAATTTCTCCTACTATCACATCTTGGACAAAACTAGACTATCGTATCATTATCACTTGTTCTTTGTTTTTTAACTTCAATTTTCAAACTAGAGTTGTATTATTAGTGGCATGTGGAGTGGTGGACCAATATATTCAAGTTTAGCACACTTTATGGTGGGTTTCAAGCTACTCCATCGTTTAACCATCCATAGTGGAATATTTTTATATTGGCACTTTTTGCTTTTCAAGATTTCTTCTTAAACACCGAAAAAAGAAATAAAATGAGAGGCTATAACTAATTAATCACTTTTGGCCCCTTACTTTTTTTTTTCTCGTTAGAAAGTAGAAAATGAACCATCTATATGTGCATTATGCATCTTATCATGAATCATGATTTCAGTTTATACAGTGTTTATATAATGTACAGAAGTTGCTCATCATTACACGTGCAATAAGATCTCGCTGACACCATACACTTATTTCAAAATTTTAGTCACTAACAAATCACCAAAACTGTCAATGTAATCCCTCCTTTCTCCGAGGAAAAGAAAACACTCATTCTATTTATTACTCTTTTAGTCCCAAAACTATAATTTTTCTAATTTACAAAAAAAATGTTGAAATTTTTATTATTTTTAGTATAAATTTTAAAATTCAATGTAAATATTTTTCTGGAACTGAATGAGTAATTTACTGCTTTTTTAATTCAACAAAATGATCATTTTACGGGGACAGATACAAATTACATAATATGTGATCTATATATTAAAAACTAAAAGAGATGCATTTTAATATGAAGAAAGGCGATGTTATAAGAAATAGAAAAATATTTGAGTGCAGTTGGTTGGTTGAACTTACCCTGCGACGAGAATGTTGAGCATAACAGTAGCTCCGACAGCAATACCAGCCAGCTCGCCCACCGCCCGGGTGTCGGTGGCGACTGCCGTGACGACAAACAGGAGGTTGAAAGTAATGAGGAACTCAAGCGCGAAAGCCTGTCCGGTGCTGACGGAGGGAACCGTGACGCCGCCGGACATGAAAGGGTGGAAGACGCCTTTGAGGGCAAAGGAAGCGCAAATGGATGCGGAAACCTGAGCCGCAATGTAAGCAGGGACTTGGGCCCAGGGGAAGTGGCGGAGCGCCGCGAAGGCGATGGTCAGAGACGGATTCAGGTGAGCTCCGGAGATGTGTCCGGTCGATAATATGACGATCATCACCGCCAGCCCCGCCGAGGCGGCGTTGCCGATCAGGGTTTCGGCTCCGTTGTACTTTTGGTTCACGATCGGGGCTGCCGTTGCGGCAAATATCAGGATGAAGGTTCCCACGAACTCAGCTCCCAGCTGTAATTTTCATTCATTCACCATGCAATTAGTTAATTAATAACCCTATTTCTTTTTTTTTTAATTTTTTTTTGAGTTTTATAGAGAAAAATAATCTAAACATCAAGAACATGTACATTGATGATAACAATAATATGAAAGATGATAAAAATTAATAAGAAAAAAAAAGGGAGAGCTGCCATGCCTTTGTATTATGTTTTAAAAAATGAAAAAAAAAGTAAAGAACTTTTTTTTTTTTTTTTCCCCCGTTTTGACTTGCATTCTCAACCAATTTCCTTTGTTTTCAATTGATATATTCTCATGTAAATAAAATTGTTGCATGTTTTATGTTTTTCTTCTCACAAACCAGCACGGGAAATGCTTTACCATAATAAAAACTAAAAGAAAATACAATAACCGAAACAACCTGATTAGTAAGAAAACATGTGTCTAAACTGCAACCGATGAACATGTTAGGGTGATATAATGGAATGTACTCATCCTCATTGATATTCATTACCATGGGAAGGATCTTTGCTGTAATGTAGTTGTTGTTTTTGACTAGTGACTTGATACATCTAACAAATACATACAAAAACATGACAAGTACCATATATAATATTGGAAAAGTTATCACAATGACAAATCGAGCTCCAACTTGCTTATGTTTTTAGTTGCAAGAATGATGAACTTAATCTAGGCTAATCCTCCAAATTGCTATTATTGCATTCTACTTTTGTTTTTATCCTATTAATCAATTAGTCTCATGGGGATGACATTGGTCATTTTCTAGACTTGTAGTACTAATAATGGTGAAGTTGTTGTAAGATTAGGTCATCATCAAGGAAATTTTCAATAAAGAAAGTTATCAGAACATGCATCTCAAATGTACGTACGTACTCACCGAATTAAAGGTAATTAAATTCAGAATATAGCACAAGAATTTCATCATCGTGACACGGTTGATTAACTTTTAATTAGTGTTTTATCATACGCTTGGTGGAAACTACTATTAATTTCCATATCTAAACTTGCTGCATTCTGAATGGTGACATTATGGCCAGCAATTTAGAATCATAAATTCGTACGATGTCGGTCCAATTGACTTCTTCAACTATTTAAAAGAGATAACAGCTACGTTTGATTACGTCGAGTATAGTGAAATCGTTAGGCCTACATTTTCAATGGAATATGCTTAAATTTATCTCGTTGGGAGCAATAAAAAACAAAACTAGCTATTCTAGTTTCATAATCAACTAAATTGGAAATTAATCTACAAAAAATGTAATGATTAGCCATAAAGATCAAACGAGAGGACACCAATTTTTTAATAGAAAAAGGGACAAAGAAAAATACACAATGAATTTGAAATATCTGTTGAGGGATAGAACACTGTTTCTTCTTTATTCCTTTTTTGTTTTTTTTAATAAACAATAATTAACATAAGTAGACCAAATTTCTTTTTGACTACAATTAAAAACATTCTTAACTTAATAACCACGTCAAATTAACGTTCTTAATCGCACTTATTTAAAAGAGCACACCAAACCATGGACCAATTAATCTAGCTGAAAGCCAGAAACTTCACATGGCACCACGGGCAATCAATCAAGCAGGACAGAACTAGCTCATAAATACGTAAAAAAAAATAATACTGTCACTGGATTATATTCCCTACGTCCATAATACATTATTTACGAAATGAATTATTTCTTTGGGACCGATAAAAAAAAAAAAATAGTGAGAGAGATAGAATACCTTGCGTGTGAGGGAGACATCCGGGGCGGGGAAGTCGGCGAGGCACGTGTGAGGTGCACCCCAGGATGGCGCGTCCAGCGGCAGGCACTTGCAACGTGGCATTGACTTCCGTTCATACGACAGTGATGAGTCCACTCGGAATGAAGAGAACAACGGCGTTGGCGTCCCCGGCGTTGCCGGCGCCGTTCCTCTCGGAGTTCCGGCCTCCGAATCTTCCATTCTTCCCAACTTGATACTGCCCTTCTTCTTTTTTTGGGTTTTTTTTTTTTTGTTTTTTTTGTTTTTTTGATACTAGACTAGAGAAACGATCTGAGGGGATCGGAATATGTAAAGGCTGACCTTAATTACATGATTTGAAGGTTTTTATAAAGGTGTGTTTACACGAGAAGGGTTTGAATTGTATCCAGATCGAAGATACTCTAAATCAAAAAGAAATTCAGCTAGGAAGACATCAAAAACAATAACAAATCTACTTTTTTTTTTTTTGTTTTTTTTTCCTCGGATGTAAGGCACAAAAAGACGAAGAAGATCAAGTTACATAATGGGCAGGTTTTTATAAATGTGGAGTTAAGGAGTGATGAGATTAATGGAGAAATCCAGCTTAAATCAAACTATATAAGGATCAATGGAATGATAGTAGTGAAAAAAGCATGTAGATGTACAACTATATAAGGATCAAGCGATCTAAAAGTAGCAAGAAAGAACGGGCAAATTGGGGACGAAAGAAGAAAAAAAGACGAAGATGAAGAACTTCAAATGCAGAGCTCAGATGAGAAGAAAGATGCGCATGAATGAATGAGTTGAAGTTGTAAATGAAGAGGGAGTAGAGAGATGGTTTTTATATACTATGATGATCGGTAGTATTTTTTTTTTAGTACAACGGTGCAAATATATTTTTAAAAATATTAATAATGCAGCTACTTAATAACGAAAAGTGATGAGGGGGCCGTTTGGTTTGGCCAATGGCCCCATGTGAGAGAGTGAAAGATATGAAACAGAAAGTCAACTCCCATCAACAATGATCCTGCATCAACACCTCCCCTACACATCCCCTTCATTTCACAAGTTGGGAAATCAAAATTCACCACCCAACCCTCTTGATTTGGAGAAATTACTGTAAGATCTCTAGTTTCATGATATTATCGTACAATTGTTTATTTGACAAATATCAAGAATTGGTGGACTGATAATAAAATGACACCATAACAAAATAGTGTTTGATCGGAATATTTCATCCTTTGCAGACATGATAAATGTGCCAAAATGAAACCTCACCTCACAAGTTTAAGTTATTATCTTCCTAGATATTTTTTTAATCAAGTTGTGTATGTGAAATTATTTTTTTCAAAAGTTTATTTAAGTATAAAATTTGCAATTTGATAAATGCTTCTCATAATGATACATAGCAAGTTACGAATTGGGGTAGGAAACAAATACATTCGGTTGTCTTGAAGAAAATAACATTTGCTTTTCTTATGCAAGTTTGGTTTCTTCTTGTTTGCTTTGCTTGATTTATCTTCTCTCCTGACATTAATCTGGTGGTTTGGGTGCTTTGGTCTTTTCATACTTTCTGGCATCCGACTTGTCGTTTCCGTGAGTTTGGACTGTTGAACAATAATTTCTTTTTTTGAAAAGACAAAGGACCGCTTGATAGTATTCACCAATTTTTGAGGGTAGTAGCTGAAATTTACCCTTGCTAATGATAATAGCTTACACGCATTATTGGTCCAAAAACAAACAAAAACATAATCACCACCTCACCGACTAGACCTGTTGGAGTTTACCAACATCCAATCACCCAAAAAGTTTTGGTTTCTTTTCTTCTTTTTTTTTTTAAATAAGAAAAATTTGGTTCGAGTCTCATGAGTTCATAGTTTTTCAACTAAATTGGGGCAACAAAATTGGGTCCATTACTACTACGTTCGGTACAAAATAAGAGCCATTTATCAACAAGAAACATGCCTCTTATATTTTAGAAGATAGAGGGAAACCTTTTATTTATTTATTTATTTTGGTGACACTAAGGGAAAAAGTGTCCGTATCCAGTGCACCCGGGTATACCGTATACCCCCACCAAACACTCGCACTACACGTGCTCAACATTTTTCACCTTTACATTAAATGCATAAACAAAATTGTTGTCATCCATTTTACTGTTTTCATCCTCACGCACAAACACACACAATTGCTGGTTATCCATAATTTATCCACAAGTTGTAAACTGGTTATCCAGAAGGTGTAAACTGGTTATCCACAAGTTGTAAACTGGTTATCCAGAGGTAAAGAAGCAAACGACATGTTAATTGGGGGACTTCGCCCTTCATGATAAACTAAACGACTCCCGCGGCTACCGGAATCGCAGGTCACCAACCTGCCCCGGCTGCGCTGCCCTGCCGAACACGCCAAAGTAATTCTTTTTTCGTGTGTGTGTAAGGAGAGTGTGTTATTGCATTAAGAGGGGACACAATTACTTATATAAATCCCCCCGTGATAAAATAAATGACCCGGCTGCGCCGCCCCCCCTACCGAACGGCAAATTTCATAAATAGTATTTAATTGAATGAGGGGCATTTTGCCAAATGATGGAGAACAAAAAATAAATGAGGGGCAGTTTGCCAAATGATGGAAATAAGGTACGTTCAATTGTGTATAACTAATTATCCATATTGTCAATACTGGTTATCCAACTGTGTATAACAAATTATCCATATTGCCAACACTGGTTATCCACATTGTGAACACTGGTTGTCCGTAGTCTGTAGATGGTTATCCATAGTGTGCATATTGGTTATATTTCTATAGTGTGCACACTGGTTATCCATATTGCCAACACTGGTTATCCACATTGTGAACACTGGTTGTTCATAGTGTGTAGATGGTTATCCATAGTGTGCACACTGGTTATCCAGCTATGTTTAACTAGTTATTCATAGTGTGCACACTGGTTATCCACAGTGTCAATACCGGCACATTAAGTTTTCAAAATTTGAATAAATTCAGTAATTTATATATGTCACGTTTAAAAAAAAAGAAAAAGAAAGCTGAATTATCTAGCGAGCTCATGTTATTCTAAGAGAGTAAAGTACACGCGCAGGGGGGTACACGGTGCCCCCGGGTGCACCAGATAATTTGCCGAAATAGTATCAAAATAAAATTAAAAATAAAATAAAGAGGCATGACTACAAGTTTCGAAAAATCACCAAATCAACGAAAGGTAATATTTCCTTAAACAAAAGGGGAAAGATAATATTTGACTCCCTCACCTAATTAAGTGTTTACGCCTAACCGAAGAAAAGTAGAATTTAGTATGATCCCGAAAAAAATATACCTCCCTAATTAATATTTGATTCTCCTGCTATATATGCCTCCCTAAAAAAATAAAACATAATATTCCATTGCCAAATTGGACAGCATAAAATAATAAAAATAAAGAAAATTTATGATCTTATCACACTCGTCTATATGTTACATTCTGAAAAGAAAAAGTAATTAATGGTTTTCTATAATGAGATTGGGGGGACATCATAGAGAACATCATAGTCTAAGCGATTTGATGTAGCTTGTTGTACACCGTGTGGTTGTTGATTATGTACCGGTTACAAATATGTGGCCTTGAGGATAGATGCTTGGAATATGGATGCATGGTTTTCATTAATAGTACACCAGTTTTATCTTAAAAAAAAGTTTATTGAATTGTGAGATTTTTATTAAAAATAATACGAATTTCAAAATTTAATGTAAAATTTTTATTTTGGGACAGAGAAATACTAGTTTTGAGTGTATATAATATTTATGTTCGGAAAGAAAATTCTTATATGATGACTTACTCCCACTCCCGAAATGATTGTTTGGTTTGGATTCGCTTTTAGTCCAATTTAGTAATGAAAAAATCTAAATTAAATAATAATTTTAAGGGAGAGTGTATTTCACTTCAATAACGTATAATCTATAAGTATTAATGAATGCGTTTTCCTAATGGCATCAAGCCCAGTTCAGATATTTTGAAATTCTCACAATGAATTTTCAATTTTGTAGTGATTATGATCACCATGGGTCATGGAAAATCGAAACTGCAGCTGATTAGCAAAGAAAAACAACGGCATGCCGCTTTCATGAACAGAAATGAGGATTTGAGGGGGAAAAAAAATGAAATTGAAAGGAATATAAGGAAGCATGGGATTCAAGATGAATTTTCTTCTGTTTCTTTGCTTGAGATTGTAGTGTTACTGGGTAGCTGTTTGGTAACTATGGGATATTTCAACAATGCCGCCTTTGCCTCCATTCCATTGCTCAAAATTTTCATCAACAATCAATAGAGACATTGGTGCCAACCCAGTTTCGAACTTCAAGGAGGGATTCTCATCCCTTCATTGAAGACATCAAGCAGTATTCAGACAATCCGCAACCTTAGTTTGATTACTTATCCTTTTCTTACTGGATTATCTAATTCACTCTCGAATTCTATATATATATATATATATATTCTATATATATATATATATATATATTCTATATATATATATATTAATAAGTCCTTCATATTTCTCTTCGTCAAATTTTATATTCGCAACATGTATTAAATTTGAGGTCCATTGAAACAAGTGTTTGATTGTTACTTCTTTTTGCTTTTTTTTTTTCCCCCACCCTTTGTGACTTGTTGGTGATTAAGATTTTCATGAATGTCATAGTTGGACCTCTAGACTAACTAAATTAGTGAGGTTAGTGATTTTAAATAACGAGTGTATAGTATTATATTATTATTATTTTTTTTTGTTTTCCAGATTTATAATATTTGATTAGTTTATGAAACTGTAATGCAGATTATCATGTACTCCTTCCGTCCCATAATTATTGTCTAGTTTTACTAAAATGAAAGATTTTATTTTTGGTCAAACTTAACTATATTTTACCTTAAACAACCAGATATACCCCTACATAAGTAATTGTTTAACCATTAAGAGTTTATGGATAATGTTTTTTACTAAGGATAAATGTGTAACTTGATCCATAAAAAGCCAAATTGGACAATAATTTTGGGACAAAATTTTTTGGGCAAAGTGGACAATAATTATGGGACGGAGGGAGTACCATTTTCATTATACTATTTCAATTTTAAAATGATTATTTATTTTGAATTTTCATTTATTAATAATTATTAAAACTAAACATGAAAATTTGAGGACGGGAGGAGTAATGAAATTGGAAGATACGATCATCGGACATCATCTCGATAAAACAAAAGAATTCAATTTATAAAATAAAAGTAAAAGGTTTCTGATTAAAGTGAAATAATTAAAACGCACGACCACACACAAAGAATCTGTAGCCAGTATGAATTTTAGAGTAATTAACAATTGCGCTATAGTCATAGCCAGCAACTTGGGGAGAAGCACATGCCTACAAAGTCAGTTTACCAATTTCCTAGAAAATTCCATAAACTCAATGATTCATGGAATCAACTAAGCCAACTCGTGCTTGAGCTGGAGATATATAGTTGCTCAATATTTAAAAAAAAAATAAAAAACGATATGCCTCTCTCTAACAGTTTTATCTCCCAATGCAAACAAATTGTATTCATACTACTCTTTCATTTCTATCTATAGTATATCTAGCTATATTATATATATATATATATATTATACTAAGAGAGAAACCAGAAAGAGAAATAAAAAAAGATTTCTAAGGGTGCTATATAGGATAAAATCCTATGTGTCATTTTCTAACAAAAGACAGAAATAAAAGTTTATGCAATTACACTAAAAGTCCTTGGGATTTTATGTAAATAAATTTTATCATATGTCATTTAAATCATTAGTTACAAATGAAAAAATTGGAAGAGTTAATGTACGGTCATAAATCGGTGTTCAATCTTAATCCTAATCAATTAATACAATCAAATCCATTCCCCCCAGCAAATTCAAATATAATTTGATTTAAAATCAAATAATTAAAAAATAAAT